GGCTTTCTTCCAATAGGGTTTGCAAGGCAGCTGACAATAGAATGTTGTAGCTTGTTTTCCAGTCAAGGTGACCAGATGTCATAATCACAAAGGAGGACATTCAAGAAAAATGTAGGATGTGACACCCCCCCCCCCAAAAAAAAACAGCTCAAAATAATCCTATTAATATAAATGCATGCTTCTTAGCCACACTCAAAAATGAGGACATTTTGGAATTCGTCCTAGACAGATGGTTGAAATGTAGGATATGTCCTGGAAAAGGAGTACATGTGTTCACTGTATTCCCAGTGGCTATGTAGGGAAAAGATGGCTGCCTCCTACACTATTGCTGGGATCCATGTACAAGTTGAATCTCCCTTATTCAGAATTTCAAGATCTAGTTGTGTTAGGTTTGATGGGTCACAAGTTCTGTTCACTTTTCTATGCAGCTTCAGGCTTTCCTTTCACTAGTTCCAAGAGATGTCCAGTCTTATCCTTATTTTACCCAGAGAGTTCACTTGTGTTTTAACAGAAGGGCTCCACCTCTCGGTTCATGTCATTCTGTGGCTGGCATGGTCACAAGACTTGTTTAAATCCATTTTAGTTAGCGTACATTTGAGTGCATGTAGTCTTATCTGATCCCCATGGTTGCAAGGAAAACAAAAGTCACATTCTTAGTTCACATAAATATTTTAATTAACGGTACATTGTTATATCAAAGGCCATCCTGTCCTAGCATACCACCCTTTGTTTTCTTGAACTGCCTTTAAAGGCCTCCTTTTATTATTATATTATAGGATTCTTAAGATATTAGCCTGCTACAGGGGGCATGAGCTGATCAAGAATTGCATGAGAGACTTCTTATGCAGGCCAGGAGTTCTAGTTTGAATTTTAATGGAGCAGTCCAAGGTAGTGAACTTATTTGAGAGCTTATTCAGCACCTTGGATAGATCCTTTGAATTTTGAACTGAAACCTTTGTGTAGATTCACCACTCTATTGACATGGACCCCACCACCTGCTACTGATGCACACATAACACTTCCCATTTCTTAACAATGTTTAAGGGTCCAGCAGTGTCTTATAGGTTCCCACATTCCATCCTCTTTCTTTTTTCCATTGCAAATTGCCTTTTCAGTATTAACCACAATGTAAAATGTTTTGTTATTTGCCATCAAGTTGACTTACAGCAACCCTATGAATGAGAGACAACCAAAATCCCCAGTCCTCAAGTGCTCAGGTCTTGCAAACTCAGGGCTGTGGTTTTCTTGATTGAATCAATCCATCTGTAGTCCGGTCTCTCTCTTTTCCTAAACATAGCATTACACCAGCACTGACACTATTCTGAATCACTGTAACTCACGGTTTGAAACAGAGTTTCAGAGTTTGAAAGTCATTTGCAAACCCTTGAAAGGGTTTTCATTGACCATGGTGCAAATATAACACTATAGCTACCAGCATTGAAAATTATTAGTAAGAAGGAACTTGCGAGCTATGGGAGGCTCAACAGTTTACTTTTGCCTGAGACTATTGGGAAGGGTACAATTCCCTTCTCTCCATTCATCTCCCCCCATTTGAGTTAATTGTGTACAAACTACTTTTGCACTTTGAACTCAGTTTGCAGCAATTGTAGTAAGCTAAGCATAAAGAGAGAATGTGGGAGGAGGTTAGATGAACTGGGGCATTTTAAAAGCTGCTGAAAAAATTGGACAACAGAGGATTAATTGGGACTGTTCCTACTAAATGGTAACAGTTGGAGGATGTGCACTTACCAGTGTTTTTCCAAACAATTTTTGTTCATTTTTAGCAGATTTGTGTAGGAATAAGTCCCATTGACTCTAAAGGGACTTGTTTCTGATTAGAAACACATAAGATTGTTCTGCTAATCTTTTAATTTCTCCTTTTCACCTTCTATCAAAAGAAAAACATGGGGCACTTCATAAAACTTTGAGTCTTCTTATGTGTGTTGAAAGAATCTTTGGGGAATTTATAAGCCTTTTTTTTTTTTCAAAAAGGAAGAAAGAAATCCAAGCATTAAAAATTATTTTCTTTGTAGTTCAGATTTTAAAGTAGGAGTACCTAAAGACTGTGACTTTATATTTTTCACAAATCTGCTTCAGTCATTTACCTTTATTTGTAGGGGTATTTAATAGTCTATCTCAAGTAAAATGAACTGCTGAAAGAGCAATTCACCCACTCTGTTTTTTAAAAAATCACTAACTGAAAAGTGGTTTTTCTGTAGCTATTCAAGTACTGTTCATTGTATTAACAAAAATGTGTCCAAGGTTGACAAGTCAAATATAATCAAAAAATGAACAAATTGAAGTAAAAGTAAAAAATGAAGATGGATGCTAATGAGTAGGTTTATAAAGATGAAATCAGTTATGGTGGACATCTTTTATGGAATGCAAAGGGAACTTTTAGCACCTTTGAGACTAACTGAAAGAAAGAAGTTGGTAGCATGAGTTTTCGTAGGCTCTACTTCCTTCGATGCATGCATGCATGCCACTCCATGCATCTGGGAAGTAGACTCAAATCTATGAAACCTCATATCTCTTTCAGTTAGTATCAAAGGTGCTACAAGATCCCTTTGCATACTGATTTTCCAGACTATGTTAAGGCTATATCTTTGAAATCTTTTACAGAGAAATGGCTGCCATTCCTATAACACATTAACAAAAATTCCCAAACGGTGATTCCACTGGACTATCACCTGAACTTTAGGACAATGCCTTGTAGAAGACCTTAACAAGGTTTTGATTCCCAGTGTCCAGTTTTAACAGTGTCTGCCATAATGAACATCCCTAAATACAGAAAGCAGCTCAGAATAAGGCATTCTGGGGAAGCAATGACAGGTATTATCATTCTCATTCCCCACAAAATAATTTTGTTTCATCTCCTCCAAAATATAACTGAAAGGAAACAGTCAGTTTTAGAAGGGTGATATACATGAGAAGTGGCCTGTATCAATGCAATAAAAGCCACTGTATGTTGTTGTTTTTATCCCAGCTTTCTCCCACATTTGATACTCAAGGTGGCTTACAGTTTAAAAACACAAGAGAGCTAAAGATATACAAAGAAGTGAACATGAAAATAAGATTAAACTTTTGACAATATTAAAATGATACGTGAAAAGATTAAATGCCATTAAAAGATAAAAGCTATTGAAACATTTCAGTCTAAGACAATGCAGCACTCTTAGCTCATTCTTTTAAAAACCTTCCATCTTAAAAGTCTACTGGAAGGTCTTTGCTCAGCAATGGAAGGACTGCAGGAAGGTGCCCATTCTGGCCTCCCTAGGAAGAGGATTCCAGAATCCAAGAGCAGCCGCCAAGAAGGCCCTCTTTCATGTTCCACTAGTTGTCATTCCCCCCTCCCCACATAATGATTTGGATGTTACATCCATCTGGACCACTGAGCAAAAAACAAAATGGCATGCACCATGAAAATGTGGCAGCCCCCACTGGCTGTTGCCTTTTGTTCCCTGGAATGCACCAATCTGAAACAATACTTGGGGCATTGTGGGAAAAACAAAATAACCACTGTGATCCAATTTGTGACCAGCAGAGCTTATTCTCAGTGGGACTATAGGCAAGGAGAAGAAGACATCACTGTGGTGGGCTGTGCCAAGATGCCTGGGTCCCAGAAGCTACCTAAGGACACCATGTGCTAATCCTGGAGCTGGTTTGCTCAAACAAGGAACTTAGGTAGTGGATTGCTGAACTGTGTCTGAGGCTCAGGTATGATGAGAACTCCTTGCTCCAGATGCTACATCTGAAGATTCAGCCCAGTGATTCTGCAGGTGAGGGGAGAATTTGGGCTGAGGTCTTTCCAGTTCATAGCAGTTTCCCCATCCTAAAGGATCTTCCCCAAATATCATGGAAAGCTTTTATTGGCAGAGCTTGATAGTGTTAAGGCAGAGTAAGGTACCAGCCCCAAGAAGCAGATTTGGGGTATCATGAATCGACCAGGATTTCTTGTTGTTATGCTTACAGTGCCAGGGATGGTAAGAGGGATTTGTGGGATTTTTAGCCTTGTACGCCTAGTTATTCTAATTATATTTTAAAATTATAATTATTTTTAATTATAATTTTAATTATGCTCAAAATACTGCAACATAGGACCTCAGCAG